TTGTGGTCTGGTAAGCCTAAAATCTGACCTGAAGTTGAAAGATCAAGCTAAAGAAATGGATAATGTGGCATTAACAACACAAGAGGTGATGGCCTGTTCATATATATATATATATTTATATATATATATATTAATGGTTTTCTGAAAATGTAGGCATTCACAAAACATGATGGTATTACATTAGTTGCCAATAATTGCAAATCTGTCAGCATACATTGGTTGGCATGCTTTGCCCTTTTGGGGTTACAGTACAAAAAGTCAGTGCTGATGAGACATATTTATGCCAGGAACTACAAGAAATTAATTTTCAGCATTGATCAGTGGAATGCATCCAAGCTTATTTCAATAATGAAAAATGAAACCCTATACACTGCAGTATTAAAACTAGCAGTTTATACTTTCTGACAAAGCTATCTGCAACAACCCAAGCTTGTTGAAAAATTCTGGGTCAAAATATGTGCATAGGTTTTAAAATCTAAAATATTTTGATAAAACAAGTAGTTCAGGAAAGAAACTCTTCAACAAACAAAGTTCTCAATGACCATAACATCAGTGTTCAATTTCTTTTCTGCAATAATGAACAGGATGATAGAAAATGTACTGCAGGAATCAGAGATTAGATTTGCCTCACTCTTTTGAATGGTATCTCTTCAGGTACCTTGATAAACAGCACACCAACTTGTGAAATCTAGCACGGTCATGGAAGCTGTCAATCCTGAACTGTACTAAGTCTTTGCAAGTAGGTGTAGTACCAACTATTGATTTTCTATGGCATTAAATAAAAGCAAACCAAAAGGAAGTGTGATATTTTTTGAAATTGAGACTTGAAGACAAGTTTTTGGGCCTAGGTGTTTGGAGTAATGCTTGTTGGTAGTGCTTCTTTTTAGAAGCTGACTAGAACATGAAATATAACCTTTCTTCTATCTCTTTTTCTGTCATTGTCTGTCTGTAGTACTGATGTGTGCAAACAAGATACCTTTTTTTTTTCTTTTTCTTCCAAAAAGCATACCAAAAAAGACCACTTTGTGAGATCTAGTGACTGCTGAGTCATCTCTTACCTGCCACCATCAGTCTCAAGCCAAAGCAAATAAGAAATATTACATCTTAAAAAACATTTTTCTCTATCCTTGGCATGATTTAAGGTACGCCATTTCACCGTGAGATTTACCAATTAACTGTTGAGATTTTGGGGTATTACATAACTTTTTAAAAACTAAAATCTCCAATTTTCTGGTGAGAAATAAGAACTTTCATCACATCACCATTATCATCATTATCAGTCAGCAAGCTGAAGCACCTTAAAGCATGTCAATTTTTAATCAGATTCCCCAGAGCATTGAAAATACTCCCTGAGTCCAGACTAATGAGGAGCAAAATTGAATATGTCACCTTAGCATGCAGGTGAAGAGGAATGAAGTTTCCCATGACCCCAATAGCACTACATTGTCACTTCCGAAGAAGTAAGAATATGTTTGGTTCCTAAGTAGAACTGATGCATAAAAATATAAGTGGCATTTAAAGAAATAAAAAGCAAAACCACAACCTGTGCATCTCTTTTCTCAAATTCAGTGACTAAATACAAAATGCTTCTTTATGAACAAACAGGCATCCAAAAACCTGAAGATTTGATGGGCATTTTATTTTCAGATCCTTTTTTATGATTATGTATCCTACAATTATACTGCTGACTGTTTGTATCTGTCAGCAAGATAGCAAAACCAGCACAGGTGTCAGCAGTCTGTGCCATCTGCCATATTCGATTGTGCACAGTGCTATTTAGAACAATGCTATCATCTTAATATTCCAGATACCTTAATGAGTTTCTCACTCTAATTAAATGTGCAACTTGCAGAGATCATTGGATGCCAGATTGCAGTGGCTGGGAAAAAAAGCTTTCATTGTTCAGAAGCAGCTTTACGGTGGTAGAGGCATATTTCAGTTTTTAGTACTTGGGATCACAAGCAAGGTAATATTTGATTTCAGATTTAGCATATTAATAAACACTTAAAGCTATAAAGCTATAGACAGAAGAGTAATTTCAAATAGAGTAATGCTTACAGATTGCAACAACAGATCAGGAAGAACCTGATGGCTAAAAGTGACGGTGCACAAAGAATGACACCAATGCTGTTACGGTGCGATCTCAACTCCTGCACTTCTGAGCAGTGGCTGTGGAGTAAGGAGGAGGATTCAAAAGTGTGAGGGCATAGGGAAAACTGATACCTAGCATCCATACTGTGGTGCACAGAAACAGCTCCTCTCAGTGAACAACAGGTAAACAAAAAAACACGTTTTAAAACCAGCTAAAAAGTCTTTGCTCTTTTCAATTGCCTTTAATTGTCTCTGACATTAACCAAAAATTAGCATCATGTTGTTTCTGTTAGGTGTTAGGTTCACTTATTTAGGTGTTAGGTTCACTTACTCTACCCAAATCCAGGTGGGCAAACTTTAGAGAAAACAAGATGAGGGAAAGTTAAAGAGAAAACAACATGAATGATTTTTGTCTTTTTTTTTTTTTTTTTTTTTTTTTAAACAGTTTCTTTTGGCTAGCTCTGTGCTCCACCTTGTTTTCCTTTTGCACTACTCTTCTGTGCAGCAAATCAGATGATGGACTGAAGCAAAGATGGAGGCAATGAAGAATATTCTCAGAAACTGTTTAAAGTTAATGTCTCTGTTAACTCCAGAAATACTGATTCTGGATTTTTCATTTATTGAGATAGCATAATTTAGCTACTTGAGAGTGCTAAACTGCAGATGCAATATTTTTATTGCAATGATAAACTTGACAAAAATATACCTTGGGGAGGAGTGAAAAAGAAAGGGACAATAGTTTTTATTTCTTTGTCTTGTATTTTCCTCTTCTGTCTGAATAATTGAATAACAACAGATCAGAGGTTATATTATTGCCTGAATTAAACTCCTAGGCCTGCCTATGCAGGGAATGGATTTTAGGGCATATTCCAGGTGAGGTAGTTAAGGCCAAGCTGTAAGTTCACGAACAACACTGTTGAGCAAAATATATATATATTTTTTTCATGAGTTAAATTAATCATGGCCAAATAATTTTTACAGGTTGGAAGCTTTAATTAGATATCTTCCATTCATCGTATTTGTGGCCTGGTGTGTTGGGTTACCCATTTGATGAGCAAGATCCAATATGTACTTTTTCCCACATGTCAATTGAAACACGTTTCTTTAAGATAGTCTTGTATTTGTAATCGTTGTGAGCAGGATACAAGAAAAATATACTTTAAAATGATTAATATGGTCAGAAGATGAATTAATTTCTCAGCAGGAAACAAGACAAAAATATTTTGTGCAGTGGGAAGCTTTGTGTGCAGAACTGCAGTGTGGACACTATGCAGTGTTCAGACAGGTCTTTACGTTTGCTCTGTACAGCAGAAGAAAAATGCTAATTGCACGAAAGGGTCCCTGATTCACTTTCTAATTAGTTTCTCTTTTATTTCTGGCTGAGTGTCTTTACCTGAGAACCTGCAGATTGTATGCTCTTTGGACAGGACATGGCATATTAGCTTCTAGTCAGAGAATCCTTCTGGTCTTTTTGTAACCCTCACCCTTGCGTTTTTTATGACTGCTGAAACAAAATAAAGGAAAGGTGAATGGGAAATAAAGATAAAAATTGTCTTTTTGTCAGTATGACCTGCAATGAAATCCAACATCACATTACTAACCGTACTGAATCAGAGGAGATGTGACCAGATTTTACCTGCTGGGTCACAGATACACTGTATAAATATTTCCATAAGAAATGAAAATCTGGGCTGTAGGAGTCAATGTGTTTGAAGGCAATTAATGGAGACAAATGGTGATGTAGTAGATTTCATCTTAGTAAGACTTCTATCCTCAATACTGTTGGATTTGATTTTGCAATTCATTTTGGTGTTTTGTTTGCAGTTTACTTAATAATTTAGCCTAGATAGGCTAAACTCTTGAAATAGTAATTATAACAATCAATTTCCAACAACAGGAATTTTAGTTTAATAGTTTAACTTCTTGAGTTAGGTGTTCAAGGCACGCTTGGGAGAATGATAGCATAGCTGTCATTTTCCACTCAGGCTTTTGGCTTTTGATCTTCCATATTTCAGTCTGAATTTGCCCCCAAATTCTTTACTGTTAGGAATAGGAGCCATCTTCTTTGTCTCTTCTCAGAAATGTCACTCATCTTTTTTGCTGGTTCTTTTCCAAATGCATATGGTATTTCCACTGTACCTAAGGAGCATGCTAATGGCACAATATTAATATGCAGCACCTTTCACTTTCTACAGATAGAAATAAGCTCTTGAGAAAGATCAGTTAGTGTTTTCACTCCACAGTTAATCTAACTTTCATTTGCAAGGAGGGGGTGGAAGAAAAATCCCTTGTAAGGCTGTTTTATTTGTTTGTTTGTTTGTTAGAATGACGAGTATTGTGTGACAGTAGCATTTGAATTTTCCCCAATCTTTGCACCTGCATCAGGGTAAGGACTTGGATAAATCAAGGACCTCTGTGAATCAGTTTGCCCATCTGGAAAACACAAACAATAATCACTATAACTGGCTAACCAGCCTCTGTCAGTACAGAAAAACCTAGTGATTTAGTATTAGCAAAGACTGTTTCTAGCCCCAAGGAAAGCTGAAACAAGTATGCAGCATTAGTGTCATTTGCAGATCCTTGGTGAGAGAGGGGCTGCAAAGGAAAGGTATTTTCCTCGGAGCACTGAACACCTGGCAGCAGCTTCATTTGCATGGTTACTGGTTCCTTCCTGTACAAACACAGCTCTCCTCTTCATGCTAGCTCCTCTTCATGAGTTGGAAAAATGAACAAAACTTTTGCCCTCAGTCTGCAGAACATACTTAAACTATAAAGGCTCTTACCATTCTTGTCAAGTCTGTAATCTGCTGGTCGTTCGTTAGTTCGTTACTTGTTGCCTTGATCCATGTGTGGACCCGAAATACAAAAGAGTGCGTAATACCTTGGCCTCAGTGCAGTGGGATGGGGAACCTCTTCAGGTAGGAAGATGAGCAGCACTATCCTTCTCACTGATTTTCTTTCAATGAACAGGTCATGGTTTTTAATTTAACAGCTCTCCAGAAATAGAAAAAAGAAGTGAATTACTCCTGAAGTGGCTGGAGTCAATATAACAGCGTAACAGGTAACCTCATTACACAGAGTAGCATTGATCTTCACAAAATTTCTTGAGTTCATGGAAACAAGGCATGATTTACTTTGCCTGACAGACGTATATGTGTATGTATGTATATATATATATATATATATATATATAACAGTAGCTGTTGTTTTATGGTGTTATGTTTAAAGGCTATCCTTGTAACTACCTGGCAGATTTCAAAACTTATCTGTCAGAATTGTTTTTGGGTAGGCAGGATCAAACCTCATAGCTCTTAAAAACAGATTTGTAATTCACTTACAAACTTCCTAGTATCTTGAATTTTCCTTGTGAGGAAAACACAAACAGCAAAAATGCCCCTTAATTACTGGGCCAGTTTTTATTTTTTTTCCTTAAAGGAGGGGGAGGATACCAAGAGCCAGTCTTTGTTTTAAACCAGATTCTGTATGTAATGAATAACAAGCTGGTGCCAGAGAGAAACATAATGCAAACTGGTGGGAATTGCATTTAGGTTTATAGACAAGATTTTGGCTGATCAGTTTGGTTTGTTTTTAATTGTCATTACATTCCTATTATTAAAAAAAAAATCTAAGTACAAATTGTGGGAAAGGTGCAGTAAAATGTTCTAACCTGGAAAAAAAAGCCTTAAGTAGTGTAACTGCTGTTTCTTGTACATGCAGAGAAAGAAAACGTACACTTTATGTGTATGATAAATGACAGTTAATAGCACAACCTGCAGAACATAGAGAACAAAGGGTAGAATGAGTATTATGTATCCATCCATCATTTATTGTCCATTACAATGTAGTGCTTGCAAATGTTTTGTGTGTATGAAAAGCATTGTCTTTGATTGCAAGTAGGATGGAGTCTTTTCTTTTACTCAGGGGGAGACAGAGTTGAAATTGCAAAGCAACAGAAATTACCTGTAACCTACCAGAGGGGGGAAAAAATAAATAAATAAAAGAAGAAAAAAAAATCCAAAGAACTATAGGGAGGTCAGTAGGTTTTTCTCAGTGAAGTAGTGGGACAAAAAAAAAAAAGACACAAACTGAAAACTTTCCAAAGTCCTTTGAAGAATCAAAGAATAACCGCATCACTGTCAAGTTCATTGTTGCAAATATGTTTGTGTTGCAGGGTTGGAAAAGATTGGTAAACCAGCACAAAAATAGTCCAGCCTGAGTCTTGTACAAGTTTGCATCACTGCGGGATGTGGTGGGTGAGTTGTTTAAAAAATTTACCTTTTTCAGCAGATAATAATGCAACTCAAGTATTCAGACTTGCTAAGCTATGCTTATGGGGGAATGTGACAGGTTTTAAGGACAGCTTTTACCCCCGATCACACTGTGAGTCCAGGGGAAAGTTGTTTCTGTACCAAAGACTGTGATGAGGTTTGGCATATGCTTGGGATGTTCTCATTTGTACCTGTGTCATGGCAGCCTCCAAAACCTGTTATTGCCATCAGGCTTCCCTGTGAGATGCAGTATGTCGCAGGGGACTTTTTCAAGCTCTCCTGCTAAAATTGATCCACTGCACACATTTCTAAATTATTAACTGTCAGGACTGGAGCCTAGAGAAGTTTATTTCAGAAAACTTCACGCAGTTGGAGCATATGACAAACACCAATTATGTTCTGAAAAATTCCTCTGCGTACTGAAGTAAGGCACCCTTGTTAATGAATTATTCTCTGTGCAGAAAGTGCAGTTATAGGAGCCATAACTTTGCTGGCTACCTGCACTGGATGAAGAGCAGGACCAGAAGAAATTATGAATCTCTGTATTTGTGTATGGGCAAAGACGGGTGGATCTTTGTGGGCTTGCATTTGTTTTGCCAGGGAATGAAACTGGCTGGTTTTAATGGACTTTGGGAGATGGGATAGATTAACCTTCAACTGGGACCAAAAGGTAACCACAGAACTAGTGCCACTCTGAGCTTTCTGTCTCTCACTACTAATTTTGAAGCTATGCATTTTCATTTTCTTGAACCAGATGGCTTCATGAAATTGGTTCCCATGTAGTTTGCAGGAAATAGTCCTATTTACTACTGCAGTCAGCAGTCTGCAGCCTTACCTGAGATTACTGAACTCTCATAAATTCACTGATCATATCGCCTTTTATTTATTTTTGTAATAGAGTTAATACTCTTGAACTCTGCAAAACTAGCTTTTCTTTAACTTCCCTAACATTTTTCTACTTTGGTATTTTCTGCTGAATACAGAAAAACTGTCCCTACTAGTTAGGGTACAAGATGTGTTGTTTGAACCTTGATAAACTATGAAGATATGAGTATGCTGTGAATGCATCACAGGATTTACAACACTGATAAAATGATTCTTGATGCACAGCTTACCATAGGATGATATTCAGTGAAATATTCATTGAAATACATTTTGAAAATTAACTTTAGACTTTCTCTTATCCACAAACTATATCACCAATCATTTTTGTATTTGTTCCCCTTCTGAATTCCTGTAATTTCCCTGAGGTTATTTTGCTTTTTTCTTCTCTTTTCAGGAGTTTCTTTTTTTCTTCTAACCTTTTTTCAAACCTGCTTATAAAAAATAGTATTGATTATATCAGCCTTTCAAAAATCTGACAGATCCTAAGTTAATTTGACAGAAGGAAATCTGTTCTTAAACTACAATTTGCACTGGGAAAAACCTGAATGTTTAAAAACTGTCTTAAGTTACGAGCTTAGTTTGTCTTTTATTGCAGTCAAAATAGTCAACTCTGTCACCAGTAGACAAATGTGAAAAAACGTCTTGTGTAAATTAGCTGATGTTTCCTTGCTGAGTCAATTTAAGAAAGGAGATATGCTTAGGATAGAAAGGTAAGTTACAAAATGAATGGTCAGAGGGTCTACACAGAGTAGAATCTAGATTAAACTACCGCTGCCTAATTCAGTCTCTGTTGTGTTTTAAGCTCTCCTGACTTGGTTTAATGTATAAATTTCCCAGTGTGCTTTACATGAAGACTATTCACAACCAACTGATTTCACCTATTTTCCTGCTTTAGGCCTCAAGACACTAGGCATTTTTGGCACAGCTTGCACTTCCATTGCAGCTGTAGGAAGGCTGGAGAATTGCCATTCAGGGATGGAACTAATATAGAAATTTCTTTACTCGATAACACAATTAGAACCAATTGTCATCACCTTTGGCCTTGCTCTGTGAAGGTAAAATGGCTTATAATATTAACAGGTTGCTGAAGCCCATTTAAACCTTCACTGAAGTAGCAACTGAAGTCCTCTGCAAAGCCACAGTGTCACCTCTGCTGTGTCCCTCCTTGGGCTGGTCTGGGTGGTTGGTAATGTGGTCAGTGCTAGCTGGCTGACCTGAAGGACTTCTTGTGACATACCTGCTATTGCCAGCTGCTGGAGCACGTGTCATAGAAGGGGATTTCTTCTACTGTAAAACTTAACATACTGTACATAGTACATAGTAGCATCTGCCAGAAATGCAACACTATTGTTATTTTTCCCGTCATGTTATGGCAAATGAAAATATAAACAATTAGGTTACTGCATAATTCCTGCAGAGTCATTGAAGTCAGCCCAAGGTTACACCTAAAGCACATTCCTTTTCTACATAAAATATTTTCTGCATAATAATCTACATAAAACCTTTTCTACATAAATAAATTTATTTCCCACTAATTTTCCAACATTTATTTAAAGGTTAAGGGAAAAAAGTTTTATGTGATGGCCATTGACTTAAACAATAAGGAAACCAACCAAACTGCTTGCATCTTCTCTACTGTGTATTAGTGTCAGAGAAATCTGGGATATTTATGTATCCTTTAAAAAAGAAAAAAAAAAGGATAGAAAATAAATATCAGCATTTTCTCTGTTACAGTTCAATCATAAGTTAGGCCCAGTGCCAACATCTTATTTTTGTTTGCCCCACAAAAAATCGTATGTGAAATAGGGAGCTTATTTCACAGCCTACAGCTGTTTCTCAACTCATTTATTGATTTCCAGAGTTAAAGGAGATGATAAATAATATTTCAGAAACAGAATATTTATATCTAAGGTGGCTTTATAATTAAAAGAACATTTTCTATGTTGATTTATACTGAAGTTTCTTGATTAATTCTTATGGAAAGTAGTATTGAGCTGTCGTCTTAGCTTGATAAATCTAATTCTGATCTTTTATATCTATGAAGGCCCTACAGAACTAGTAACTTACAGAAGCTTGCAATAAAAAAAAAAAAAAAAGGCTCTCTGGCAAAGTGTCTTATTCCAATTATTTTCTGATTCATCTTTCTGTGTTCTTTCATGGTTGCCACATGAAATAGAAAGCTATTGCTCTTTTATTACTTTTATTAACTGTTACATCCATATTCATATTTCAAATACACTTTATGTAGTTAATCAATGGTGATATTTATTGCTGTCTTAGATATTGAAAAGAGGTGGAAAAAAACAAAGACCCTTTTTCAATACAATAAAGTACCTTCTTGAAATTGTTTGGCCTCTATCTGTTACTGGTTGTATTTTGAAAGACATCACTATGCTTTTAATGATCAAGAAATTGTTTTACTACTCTAAAAAGCTAGATTCATCAGAAATCTACTCTTCTGAAACAGAACTTTCCATCTACTGTACTTCAGTTAAAAAGGGGGAGATTTACTTCAGCAAGAAAAAAAAAAATGTTCTTGACTCAGTGCCTACCACATTCAAGCCAGAGGACTCATTTTGCAGCCTGGGAAAGAGGTGAGAGGAAACAGCAGTTCTGTAACATTGCCTGTTGTTGGGAAAATAGAACACTACATGAAACAGTATAGGAAAATTCAGAACTACTATAACATAATTTAACTACAACAAAGCAAATGTAGAAGAAAAAAAAATATATCTGTTCTGGCACATGGGGGAGAAAGCTGATGTGTGGTAATGATGCATGGCTCATGAAGCAGAGAGGAAGAAGAGGGGAGCAGAATTATGCTTCATGTTAGAAAACTTGCAACTGGGGAAGGTACTGTACTAGACTACAAGTGTGATGGCCCTGGTGAAAAAAGACTTTATTCATCTGCTTTTCACTTTTTCCTTTATTCTTGGCTACGTGGCTAGAACTCTCTCAGACAACTGTTCTCATCTCTGAGACCCGTTTCAACCCCCTTTCAGCCAAAAGTCATGATGTCTTTCATTGTCAGCTGCAGAAATTCCTACTTTACCTATACATTAGGGTTTGAGCCAAATGGACAGGGATTTTGTTCTGAGATAGAAGTGTTTCAAATGTCTGGTTAAGTTCATTAGACAGTATAGAAGAAACAACCTTATTACTTTTTTTTTTTTTTTTAAATGCTTTCTTTCAATAGGTAATGCATTTCCTATTTTGTAAAAACAAACAAACAAACAAAAAACCACTAAAAGATAACCTTTTCACTTTGTGCAATTTTCACAAGAGCAATGTAAGATACTTCCTGAGACTGGACTGAGTGTTGAACTGGGAAAAATAAATTAGTGCTGTATTTAACAAGATTAGTGTGAGCACAGATTTTAATACATAGCAATGCCATAGTGCATGATGTTTAGTTTTACCTTAGCCTTTGCTGTTATATAGTCTGATTTATAAACTTAAAAGAAAAAAAAAAAATGGGGGTGGGGGCAGACCACCACAGCTGCCTTGTTTTAAAAAGCATGTTCTTACTTTTGACAGTTAATCAATAAGAAACAAACGAAAAGTAATAACGCACGACTTGAGAAATATTGTTTTTATTCTTAGCCTGAAGCTAGGGCTTGCCAATACATTAAGATCAATCAATCTTCTCCCCTCAGACTGAGCTTGCATCCAAATCACCAAATCTGTAAAACATGGAGTCATTTAGATTTGAAAAGACCCTTAAGATCATCAAGTCCAACTGCCACAAATGTATTATATGCAGAACATTCTGCTGTTTGCTGGTGGTATACGAGGTCAGGATGGAAGACAACATTGTTTTCTGGATTTCCTAAAAATGCAGAAGGGCAAAAGGAGAGAAAATCTGCCCTAAAGATCAGAAATATCCAAGTGAGGCCGTTCTTTTTTATGATAAGGAAATTGGAAGTACTCTGTATGCACTCCAGTTGATTCAGCTCAGTACTAAATCTTCTCACGCAGAGACAGAATGATGAACAAACAAGCAAGCACCCTAAATCCTGCTCAGAGTGATTCTGCTACATGGAAAATGATTATCAATTCAGCGTTATGAAGAGGAATCTTTGATACAGCATCATTCACTTTTCATATGGAATAAGGGAACAGAAACATTGTTTTTTGGGGGGTCTTTTTTTTTTTTCTTTGTTAAAGGTGAGGGTCTTTTTTTTTTTTTTCTTTGCTAAAGGACAGGGAGGAGAGGCAACAAAACTTCTAAACTGATGTTTGGTAACAGTAAACAAGTTGTGCAGGCAGCATACTGCACACAGCTTTCCCTGGGTAGCTGCTAATGACTGGTTTTCATGGCCTTAAAAGCTATTATTTTGCATAGTCACACTCCTGTTACTAATCTCAGTTGCTAAAATTAATTAGGGTATAAGCACACCTAGAAAGCCTGTAAAACTACATTTATGTCTATGACATAAAGCAGAACATTTGGCAATGTTAATTGAAATGATAAAAAGGTTTGCAAGACATCAAGAACCCTTCACGTTAGTCCTCTTTACCTTGGCTTAATGACACAATAAATGCTTTCTTTTCTGGATATGATTATAGTTTTAAACAACATAAAGTGAGAAAATTCCATTATTTTATGTCAAGGAACCCTCCAGAGAAGATAAAATTGCAGTTAATAAATAAGATTACTTTCCAATGGCAATTGCTCCATAATAGAAAATTCACTTTCTAACCTTCTTCTCTAGGATGCTAATCAGTTAATCAGTTCAGTCCCATCTTAGTTCCTGGCAGCAGTTTTTCTCCCATTGGGACAAAAGTGAATGCAGGGTTTCTGTTGAGGCAAAGGAAGAAAGGAAGTAAGCAATAAAACTGCCTTATTTCATTTGGAAGTGATTGTTTTAGGCAATTATGCACCTGCAGCACTGATCCCCTTAACAAGCAGCATAAATAGCCTACAGTAAGTCTATTAAGCCCCCTTTTTTCTTCCTGTAAAGGAAGCTGAAATACTATATGTGCACATACCAGGGCAGGAAGTAATTTCCATCTTCATGGGCACAATTCCAATATACCTCTGTCTTTGTTTAAGTATGAATTTCTTACATGTTCCAGTGTCATGCACCATTAATCACTCCTAAATCATTATACCCTTAAGATTGTTGACAAAATTCAGAGGTCTTTTCTTTCATACAAAATCATCTATTCATTGATAATTTAGTAGTTAGTGCTCAACAAAATAATGATGTGGTATTTTTCTGTTTCTCTATCATGCATGCCTTATATTTTTTCTCTTTAGAAGATATATTTTACAGTAACCAGGATGCACTTCCCTTGGAATGAATATTCAATGTATAAAGCTTTATCTTCCATGGCATAAGAATATCCTATTAACACTAATTTTCTGATATTTGTGTTGACATCTACTTAAAGTAATTCACATTTTCTAATTGTTATTGTGAAATTTAAGCACTTTGGCTTATAAAAAAGTGTAATGTGTATGAAAAGTATGCCCTCCTCCCCACCCATCTGTAAAATTAAGTACTTTTTTATGAACTGTTTTTATCTTATTTTCTTCTTAGCTATGTAATACTCCTCGAGTTAGTTTCAAAGCAGACTTGATCTGACATTCAGGCATATCTGTAGCTGGAATTATTACTTCCCAGCTTTTTCTTTTCCCCTTTTTGCCCAAGATTAAATGTATTAAGCAAAGGAGGTTATTTATGTTAGACCAGAAAGATTTATTTGGAAAGAAATAAAATCATACTTCAGAAGACTGTCTGTGAGAGAAGATGACTAAGGGAACAGCAGTTAGTGAAATTTCATTATTAGGAACAGAATTGGGTTACTTCCACTTTATATTGCTACAGTGATTGATCTAAATAGAAAAGATCTCCCCCTCCCCTCAGCTTATTCAGAAAATATTTTCAAGATCTTACCCCAGGGAGGATAAACCATGGAAGGTGTATCCTGTAGATATTAGAGGCTAATGTCTGTCAGTATTTTAAGAAGACAGATAGTATGAAATGGGTAATGACAGGATAGCTGGCATAATGATAATCCAAGTGAATCAATCACAGGGAAAAAAAAATAAAAAATTACTGGAATCAGTCACTAAAGAATTAAAAGGCAACATGACCATTAATGAGTAATTTCATATTGTAGAACATACAGGTTGTCAAAGGAGTTTGATGGTTTGGCCATCACCAACGTAGCTGGTAACTGCAGTGCATTATGTTTAGATTTCTTGTCGAGTCTTCAACTTAGTATTACCATAAATTCTTTTAAAATAGAAGCTAACCAAGCTACATACTGAATAGATTAAACAAGATTAAAAGAAAATCGTGCCATTAATTACCAGGGCAATTCACCAGCCAGTGGAGGGAATTTATGCAGTTTTGAAAAGATCTGTCCAGGATTTGCCACCATAATTCACTGTCTTTGTGACTGGCTGGGAGACCACCTGGCTAGGTAACAGCTCTTTCTGTGGCTGCTGATGACTCCTTCCCTTTCATAGACTGACATTTAAGTGTGTCTATTTAGAATGCACCAATGCATAAAAAAATGATCTCTAAAACTGTATTTATGAAACATTCAGAATAATTACTGTGCTTTTATACTAATAGTTGCTGTAGAGCACAAATCAGCCTGCCGATTTTGATAACTTAGCTTAAATTCCACAAACACCTTGCATTGATATTTTTGGATCTGTTGGGTCTTCTATGAACTTTGTTCTTTTGCTTTTGTTTCTGATTTTACAAGCTGATGCACTCTTTCCTGATAACAGGTGTCACTATCATTAGAGTATAGATCCCTACCCTGTCAAATCACTTACTGTTGTGTGTGTTTGTGTGTGCCTGGTCAGAGCATGTTAAACCTCTGTCTGGGAGTACATGTGCAAATGAGGGATTAGAGGACAAGAGCTGGTCTTGCTGCCTCTGGAAAACCTGATCGGGGTATGTACAGAGCTACATGGCTGACAGAAGAGAGCATCCTGGTCATCTCAGGGATGGTGAGGCTCCGTTTAGTAGTTTTGGAGCCAACTGGATTGCAAATAGTGATGTTGCAAGCTAAAGTCACGCGTCTCCTCCTTTTTGGAGACCATCTTGTTGTGGTGATTGTTTGACAGGGAGCTGGGGGTACAGATACAATATCACAGCCTGAAGCAGATGCCAACTGTTGGGCCCCAGCATACCAATAAATCTTTTTGCCCAATCAACAACAGAAAATTATCCAACAATGTTCCTAATAAGTGTTAAGTATCCCCTTGCTCAGCATGAACTCAGATTATAACCCATGTATTGATTACTGTCATGTATTACTGAACTGTTTTAGACAAATGGTGACAGGCATTGAT